TGCCTTGTCTTTGTAATGAGTATTATTTTATATCAGAATCTAAAACAAACTGAATTAGTAGATATATATGTTAGTTCTTCGTTTTTGCCACTTCGATTCGTGAAAGGTTTCACTTTATAACATAGAAAAATAAAACTATTTAGGTTGATGACGGGCTACCACTGGGTCACATTATGCATATTTTTTTCTTGTATATGGGACTTGTCATCTGAGCTGCATTCATTACTCATCGGCAATCCAGGTACATCTAACCAATAGGCTTTAAATAATGCGACTGAATATGCATCCTATATGTCCCAATCAAGCAAACAATACGCGTCTATGCATCCCTTCTGAGAGTTAGACATGTCGGACATGACGGAAACCGAATATTCTGATCCAAGAAATACGAAAATAACTTAAACAAATAAAAAAAGATAGATCCTCAGAGTTCAAATATACTTTCTGTTCTGGATTTATTCAGTTCATAATATTATTCTGTCATCTGGAGAATAATTCCGTCAATTACCCCTTATCCTTATTATCACCTGCCTACTGTGAGAATTTTGAAACTTTCCAAAAATTTAATTAATGATTGATAGATGTCTTATATCGCTTCAATTTTGAAATATCAAGAATGTATTGTTAAGCTGATGATTTGAAACATTTTTTCAAACCACTATTTCATGTGAGAAATGAAAATTTTTATTGGTTAGACTTTTAAATTTAAATCAGTTATTTGGCGCCAAATAAATAACCTTAACTATTGGAAATGAAAAACAAAAGACATCCATAGGAGATGTGAAATGAAGCCAATATTGCTTTCAATCACATATGTGTTTATGTAGATATATATATATTCAAATAATAAGCTCGTGATAATTTAATTGTCTTTGAGATGGGCGTTTTCATGATACAACATACTTGGGATGTGATGCCATATACATCAAAATCAGAAGACATGAACGCCGTAGAGCATCTGTCCAACCACCGAGAAATCCAGTTGAATTAGAAAAGCTTGAAAAATCATCAGCCATAACTCGTCTACACGCTATAGAATCAGGTCACAGAAGTGATTTTGACAATATTGAAATAATTCAGAAAAATTTTAGAAAACCACAAAGAACGTCTAATATCGCCAGAAGCATTTCGTATGATCAAATGGAATCCAAATTGTTTGAATAGGAATGAACGATGGACTAAAACAGAATTTGACCTGGTTACAACACCTCCCTCCACCATGATGTGACAAAATCAACACGAATGTGACTGATAAGCAATTTCATTAGGTAAACACATGCTGCTTTAATAATTTTACACACTTATCAAACCCAACTTATCTACACTTGATTTTGTCATCTTTACCACTTGGCCAATTTAACAACGGAAAATATTAATTAACCCATGCTGAGGAACGATGGTTAAGCTGAGAATTCGCAAAATTCTGGTTTAACAATAGCTATTAGCAGTATTAAATAGGGAAACGTTAGTAAAAACAGCAATATCCTTTTGCTCTTTTTCATTCATTGGGAAATACAAAATAACCTTCATTATAATGACGACAATTTCCTTCTTTACACAGTGGCCTGGCTTCTAAACTGCCTTCACAATTGCAAGTATCTTTCTGTTTGTTTGTCTGTTGACAACAGTGAATGATTTTGACAGCATGAATATCAGGTCCGTAGTCCACAAGATGATTTGTGATTACATTTTTTGGCACTTTTACTTCGGCTCTTTTTTCAACCAACTCGATAAATGATCCATCAAGCGAGTAGACAGTCGCCTTTCTGAACGAACTATCTATTTGCCTGCACAAAAGCACTCATCAAATTGATATATTCAGCAGTTTGAAGTGTAGAGAATTGGCGACTGGTCTATTCCAGATTGTTGAAGCAGCCGCTTGTTGGTGTTAAGGAAGACAATTTTAGCGGCATAATAAGTCTTTACGAGTTTGCCCAAGGATTGATATCCGTTAGAGAACCATTGAAAACCAGCCACAGGAAGTAATGGACAGCTGTTTCATTCTAGTTTTAAGGAATCATCGTCAGTACGCACCAACTGCTAGGGTTTGAGCCTAGGGCCTTCCGGTTACAAAGCAAGCTCGTACATCATTCAGCTACTGGGAACCGACACCTCAGTGGCCACTGCATGAATTCTGACTTCAACCAACTCGTGATTTAGCGCAACTTTAAGTTCTTCTGATAGCTCTATGCAGTCTTCGTTTGACTACCTCTTGTACACATCGTCTCCTCTGAATGACAAACAGATGTATACAGATTTCTTTGGAATTGTCTGAACAGTTATAGCGAAGAAAAGCTTTTCTTTTCGACGAAGTCAGCATCAACTAGACAGCTGTACATTCGTGTATTTATGATAAATCGGTGGGAAAGTTCCAGAATAATTTCCGGTTAAGGGTCATATTAATAAAAATTACAATTAGGAATTAAAATGCCATAATAAACAGGGTGGGGGACGGATAGAGCTCAAACAAAGTAGCATCATAATTACTGAGAAGATTGACACTGATTGTGCAATTAGGGGTTAGAAATGTAGAAATAACAACAAGAGACAGCATGTTTGGATAAAAAAAACTAATGTGACAAATAATTTTTTATGCAGTTTAGTTATGATCCCACTAAATTTTTTATTCAAATATCCTGTGTGCTGTGGTTATTTCTGCATTTCTAACCCCTTATTGCACAATAATTAAATCTACCCAATAATTATGATGCTACTTTGTCTAAGCTTTATTCGTCCCCAACCCTGTTTATTATGGCATTTTAATTCCTAATTGTAATTTTATTAACTTGACTCTTGACCGGAAATTATTCTGTAAATTTCCCATCCATTTATTATAAGTACACGAATTTAAAGCTGTCTAGTTGACGGTGACTTCGTCGAAAAGAAAATTTTCTTCACTGCAACCGTCTTTTTATTATTCTCTATGGTCAAATGTATATATTAGAACAAGACATATAAACGAACAATATTGCTGTTTTCAATTAGATCCACTTCTTCAGGCTTTACTCTAATTTACATAGATTCATATTTAAACAATTTTTCAACCAATGACGGTGATTTTGTGGATCAAATAATAATAATGTGGTAAATGTTTTGAACGTAATTTCATATTAGTTTGTTTATTAGATATATCACACAGTGAGTGAAACAGTATTATTTACTGGATGACACAGTTTCGAACAAAATTTATTCTTCATAATCATATCACTTGTAGTAACACGACTTTGAAACTTGACTTTTATAGTTTTCTTTGTTCTCTCCTATTTGTCGTCGTTGGGGTAGTAGAATTCTCCAGATATCCGGCTGGACAGGTGATGAATCATTCCTATTACATGTATTTTCTGTCAGTTGATTCGATAAACAAAGCTTCGGTCATCAATCTCTGCCTCCCTCCACCCTGTGACATTAGATTTTAAAACTGTCTTCCTATCCCATCCTATTGTATGGTTGTGTGTAACTGCATGTAGTGCTATAGCTGAACTACTCTCTAGATTTCTTATCTTATTCGGGTCAACCAGTCTAGATTTAGCTAGGTTTTTATGTTCGGCTAGTCTGACTGCCCCTGTTCTACTAGTTTGACCTATGTATTTGGTGTCACAATCATTTCAGCAGGGTATTAGATAAACTAAATTGTTTTGTTTTAATGGCTCTACAGGATCCTTTAACCGACAAAGCTTGTTTCTAATTGAGTTTGTGGGTTTGAATGCCAGCCACTTTTATTCCTGCCTTGTTAAGAATTCTGCGTAAAGTGGTGTCCGAGGTTTCTTCCTTGTATGGAATTACTGTTGATGATTTGGATTCCTTGTTGTTGGTGTCATCATTAACATTATTATTATTATTATTATCATTATTAGTGTTATCATTATTATCACTATCGCTACTATCATTATTTATTTTATTTTAACATTTCCTTACATATTTCTTGACTAATTTATCCGGATAATTATTAAGTTTCAAGGCATCTTTTATGTGTATCATTTCTTGTCTTAGATTTTCCTTAGTACTACTTAGTTTTTGTGCTCTGTCACATAGACATTTCACCTGTCCTATTTTAAATACTACTGTTTCACTGTGTGATATATCTAATAAACAAACTAATATGGAATTACTTACTACCACAGTGCCCAAGTTTTACACATATATTAATATATTTTGAACGTAGTTAATAACGATGTTTATAATGATAAAAAAATATTGATAATAAGGTATATGCAGGTGGCGAAAAGAGGAATAACAGAGGTAGTCATATGTGTATATGTAGACAATTCAATAAATAAATAAATCAGGTCAAATCCTAAAAGTTACGTAATACTAAAGGTAGTTAAAGTGGACAGATAATCAGAGTTTAAATAAATATCATAAAAATACGAAGGTGATGGAAAATAAGGAAGGGTCGGAGGCTTTTGAATAGAATTCAACTAGGCTAAGCAAAGAAGAGACAAAGGTAGAACAAACTTCTTTTGTTGTATGCAAAGACTAGGGTTTTTGTTTCGAATTCCCATAGCTTCGGTTATGCGTTAAATACAGATTTGAATTCCATTCGAAAGACTCGTTGAAATGCGATAGATAACTTTGAAGGGACTTCTTCTTTTGTCCACTTGGTGACTGCTATCATCAATCAAATGAGCCAAAATAGAACTTCGTATGGATTTTATTTGTGGCCTTTTCCGAACTATGAAGGAAGATGCTCATTAATGCGTTTGTAAAGTGTATATTTCGTGTTTGGGATAGGTTTACTGGGGGATCATTTCTTTAGGATATCCATTCTCAGATAAAATATCCTTCAGCGTCATCAAAACCCAGTCAATTTTACTGTCGAGAAGCTCGAAAACGACTTGATAAATGAGTTAAAACTTTCCACAAATCACCTCAAACATCCACAGATCATCTTAAAGTTGTTATCTTCTAAGCAGACTAATTAACTTTCTGATAAAATTAACAAGAAATGTTTTAGAAAACGTAAAAGAAAATAATAAATCAATTCATATAGTATCACTTACCCTAAGATCATTCATATAGATCATCATATGACACGTTTGCATGACATCAGCTGCATGGACCAAATTATGATATGGATTACTGTATTTACTATAACCCGTTTCAAGTTGAATTAAAAGACTTTCAAGGCAAGTAGAATTAATCTGAAGGACAAGGAAGGAAGGCAGGATATAAGCAGAAATATTAAGGAATGTTGCCATTTTCAAAGGGCAATATAATACTGACGACCAAACTGTATGTTTCCTAGAGGAGTTATGCGGTTTCTTTGATTCCCTGTTTAACATAAATAAAGGCATTGACAGTAACCGATAAAAGTATCCTACATGTGCAGTTAAATTCCCGCCAAAAAATGACGGAAATCAATTGAATTACAACCTTTTCAGTTTATAAGAAGGTCACTCTCATCCATTTTTCTAGACCATGTTGGCTGACACTATATACTACTTGTTAAATGAGATGAGTAGTTGGACTATCGAACTGATCTGAGCCTTAGCCAGACGTTCCACTACTTTTGGACTGACGTCATCAGGGGTGTACCTAACCGGTTTAATTCAACTCGGAGAGGCGAATCAGTTCAAACTATCCAATCTCTGGCTAGTTACTTGAACGAACTGGTAACACCATAGGCCAAATTCAAAATTTTGAAGTTAGTTGAGCAATTCAGAATGTACACGGTTCGTGGGATGAAGTTTTCTCCACAGTTCCCTTTAGAAATACGGTTGACTTGTTGATTACCATTTATGCTATCATCTGAAGTGGTGTTCATCAGGCATGCCCAATGTCTCCATTTCTATTTAATTTCATCATAGATGTACTACTGGACTTAACCCTAACCGACCTCAACGACTCAGAGATCCACTTGTTACCAGGAAATAATATATTTGACTTAGAATATGCAGATGATATTGCTCTTCTAGGTGATGACGCTGAAAAAATGGAGAGTCTATTGAACACTTTGAGGAGCAGCAATCTTCGAATATTTGCCATACGATTCGCTCCTGTCACAAGTAAGATGAAGAAGCTACTGGACTGAACTACGCCAACTGACTAATAATGTGAAGTTATTTAGCGCCTCTTTAATTTTAAGAGACTTGGTGGCCATGGGACCAAAGTCATTTCGAATAGGCTAGCCACTCCAGACTTTCAGCAATGGTTGCATTAACTGTTTTTTTTTACTGAGGATCAAATTGACAGCCAGAAAGGACAAACAACAGAAAATTCTGGACTTAAAACCAACCAAGAACCCATAGCCCAACAAATTTTCAGAAGCAAATGGCGCCAAGCGGACTGCTGAATGACATCACACATCAGGCCAGCCTTCTAATGGAACTTAAATGAGAACCAATGAGCTGGACTTTCAGGAGATCATGTGAGGAGAGGATGAGTGTAACGACAGAAGACAAAGGACAGGCAACAAATCGTTCATTGAGAAAATCAAGAGATATTTATAGATTTTTATGTACATTATTATTCGTTATTGTTAGCAGAGAAACAGCGTCTTCTGATTGATTATTTTCTCACTGAAAGTTATTCTGTCATCTCTCCGAAGCAATTTCTTTGAAGGTCAGACCATATATCTGCTAATGGTATCTGCCTACGCAAGCAAAGTCTGCTGTGATTGATTGTTGAGTTAGTCATTTTTCTTGTTCTTTTCTCATGACCAAGATTTGGGACGTTAGCATTGACGTAAATTACTGTCTATCAATTCTGGCTAGCAGACTTAGGGGAAATTGTGAAACCAATTAGAGTGGACTTCAAAAGGACAAGATGAAATGGATATGTGTTGTTGAAGTCCTATGCCCCACTTAGAGGCGCCTAAGAGAATAACAAAAACAACACTGAGATCAAGCATGTGGCTCCGGGTTCGATCTCCGGCCACCGACGCAATCCTTACCTCGCTAAGTTAGCAATAAGACTAGTAAAGAGGGGAGGTTGGGCTTTAGGCTGGCTAAAAACGCCATACTGTAAAAATAGACCCCACTGCTACCAAAACTTCAAGCTTCTAGCTTGAAGGTGCCTTATGTTCCACTGGGAACGTAAAGCAATAAAAAAAATTTCAAAATTTGACGGCGTGCTTTACAGGCAAGTGGATGGTAGGCCGATGGGCTCCTCATTGGGTCCCATTCTGGCTGATTTCTTTCTAAATAAGCTAGAAAATGGACCTTTGGACAACCTTATCATTAAGTTCTCATTTTATTGCCAGTATATGGATGACACCTTTATTCTTTATGATAATGATTTGGACAGGGACACAATAATAACTGAATTTGGCTATGAAATTCACATGCGAAGAGGAATCCCAAGACAGAATTGCCTCCCTAGATATCCTTCTTACAAGAAAACCAGATGGTAGCATAAAAAGAAATTTGCATAGAGAGAGCACTTGGACAGAACAACATACACATTTTTACAGCTTCGTTCCTATCAAGTACAAAAGAAATTTAGTGAAGAACCCCAGCCACAGAGTTAGTTAGAACTACATGCTCAGAAGAAGTAATTGAAGATGAATTAAGCATTGTATATGATACTTTGATCGAAAATAGCTATCCCGAAACATTTATCAAGAAACACATGACAAAGAAAGCGGCGGAAAAGGACTACTCACTATCCGTAAACAAGAAGCCTTTATACATGCGACTGGAATTCAAGGGCGATATACCAAGTGAAATAATTACGAGGAAATTAAGAAAATCAGTTCAAAGAACGTTTATTGCTGGCGAACTACACCTGTTATTCTCTACACGACCGATGGTGATTCCTCTACTGAAAGTTGAAGTACCTAGACTAGCTAGCCCCTTCAAATTGTATCTACCAATTCAACTACGCTTGTGGACTGAGTTATATTGGCCGTCGCTCTAGGAACTTGATTTTTCGTGCTCGAGAGCATCTCCCACTACGGCTAAGTAAAGGTGTAGATAAAACCATTAATAGTTCGATATTAAACCATCTGGTGCAAACCGGCTGGCCACAAAGCCAGCCACCGTAGAAGAATCCTTCTCTATCATCTACCGGGTGCCTAATAAATTGCCAAAATCATAGAAGCACCACATGCTTCAAACAACAGATACTATTACAATTCGTGTGAAACAACCAGTGCTTTGTGTGCAAAAGAAGCAAATTGAGCCAGTCACTACTACTTCCATGGCTGGTATTCAGTAGAGGCTATAAATTCATGAATTTGTAATATTATATTTCCTAATTTTTCTGACATTCAGCTAATTTTATGTTGATGTGATTCAGCTGTAATCTGTCAATATTATCATTGATTCGATGTTATTTAAACAACCACATTAATGTTGTTCATAACACTAATTCATTCATTCATTCACTACAATGTATATATAATTGTAGAGCCTGACGATGAAGGGGTTATCGAAAAGAGTATTCTTTGTTCAGTTACCATTGTTTTGAAAATTTTAATGGGCATTTTTAATCAGTTAATATATATATATATATGTATATACAAACACCGAAAACAAAATATGCTTACCTGGAATTTATTAATAAAGTTATATTTATGTAATAGTTCATAGGCGACAAATTTCAATGCATGATTCTCAGAGGCTTCATTCAAACCGAATACATCAAAATTCCATGTATCAAGACCAGTCTGTAAGTGGTAAGAAAAATGCAGATTGAATAAGATGAAATGAAATGAATAACATTCAAGCTTGAATACACATTATTTTATGGGAAAATCAGATATGCATAAGCGTTGAACTCTGTGTGTAATTTTGTTTACCTGGCTAAGAAGTTGTGTGTTTTGTAATATTTTGACAAAGAAACATCAAAGTTTTGTTCGGTCTAACTATCCTGATATCTTGTACACTTGATTAACTTGTATTTATGACAGTTAATGGCTGATAGTGTAATACAGATGCCACGTAGTTGTCGACGGATTACTAACTCGATGTTCTACCAACTGAGAAATGGTAATATTTGTTAGCTGGCCTTGTAAGTGATCAATGTAGACTCTGTCGTAATCTACCTGGCATAAGTTAAAGATCTATTGAAAACCAAAGAGAAACCAGAGACTGAATTTTTTCACCCTATTTTCAGACCTTTCATCGGGAATCACCTTTTACGGTAGAATAGTGGAAACGGAATTCAGGAACGTCTTTCTGCAAACCATATCAAAGTGTATCAATGTGGAATAACACGACTGTGGATTACTACACGATATATATATATATATGATGAAGTTAGTAGAAAATATCTACACAGAGAGAACTAAAATTGACGGGTGGTGTTTCTACGTAACTCATCTTTATGAAAAGAGAAGAAAATATATATACCTTTTCGGGAATTTCATCCTCAAAACCAGCTGTACAATAGGTGTTCAATTATCCAGCATGGTTGCGAAAAGGCAATACTGGTGCAATAAGGAGTGCGATAATTAAACGATTGGTTAACACTGATCATTCCATTTCAACAAACGCCTCCTTCAAAGTAATTTACAGAGTCAAGAATAACCTATCAAAGGCAATATGGTTTCGTCTCTTTTGTATCGCTGAAGCTCTGGCCATTCACATAGAAAAACGGGAGCTGTGCATACAAAAGAAGATTACTCAACCACTTCTACTCACATGGTAGCAATGTTTTGATTTGTTTTGAGCTTTTATTTTTATTTTGATGACTTAATTTTGTTTCTTTGCCTGTTCCTTAATTGCTTATAATTCTTGTATTCACTTAAATCTCTTACATAGTTTCGTATTATCTACTTTGTTTCTATGTGCATCCTGAGTAAAACCCACTCATCAAACTATTCATATTATTATTGCATAACTTCTTTTAACAACTGTTTGTGACAACTCATCACCTTTGTTACTACCCTAGCACTTAATGGTCTTGACTTATATTACCAACCTTCACTTGTTTAGTTAAAAGTAACCTTAACCAATTGTAACTTTGTTTGACAAACTTAATGTACACATACATACAAAACAATGCATATATATTTGCGATTGTACAGCTAAGAAAATGAATTCGCCGAAAAGAGACTCTTCGCTGATCTACGTGTTTTGTTTTCATTAAACGTCTCTCTAACAATACATATATATATATATGTCGTAACACTTCAGACACCTTGTAAATCACAATGCCTTATTTCACTATGACACTCTGACAATATTCTTGCTAATGGACAAACATTTGGTAAAAGTGTACACTTTTTATTTTATTAAAGAATTCAGGTTGTACGCAGTTGGTGATGAGAACCGACGAAATAAAATGGATCCAGATTAATCTGCGCGCCAGTGTTTTTTCTTTCTTTGTTTACATATATGGATACGGTTATTACTTAATTCCACATATTAACGAAGCAGGCGATTAGAAGTGTTATTCAAGTGTTGTTTTTGTAGGGATTTGATTGGTTTCAGGATTTCATCATGAGCTGACATTAGTTAGAGAAGCATTGGAAAACCAGCTGGGAGTACTGGACAGTTGTTTCGTCCTAGTTTGGGACTCTTCAGCAGTACGCACCCCACCGGGATTCGAACCCAGGACCTTATGGTTACAAGGCGGTTGCAAGGTTTGAATCCCGGTGGGTGCGTACTGCTGAAGAGTCCCAAACTAGGACGGACGAAACAACTGTCCAGTACTTCCAGATTTTCCACTGGTTCTCTAACTAATGTCAGCTCATGATGAAATCCTGAAAAGTGTTATTAATTTTTAACTTGATATGAAGACTCGAAGGTGAGAATACAGACTAAAAGGGACTTAGAAACAATATTGCTCAACATTCGGAAATACTTGTGTAATATGTGAAATAGCATCTTCTTTTAATGATGACCGATGTCAGTGGGATGAGCCAAAAGACAAAAAAGTAATATTTTTTGTAATTGAAGATGAGAAAGTGTGGAGAATGGAACAACTAACAAACGAAAACTAAAGAGTTAAACAAAACTAGGTCTATGGTGAATATAGAAGTTGGACTGGTTTTCTTTGAACACATAACACTCCGACTTTTCAACACATATGGCGAGAGCTTCTGCAATACAAGGAATTCAGAAACATACTGCCTTTAGTAAACTTTTCTTTGGTTTTCAAGTGATGGTTTGTAAGTGACTCTGAATGACGAGTCAGTTGAAATGCTGTGTCAGGTGCTGATGAGGCGTTCACTTATACTTCTTCTGATTAAAGCAGTACCACCTGTCTGTAGCCATGTTAAATAGCGCTCTGTAAAGAGTTTCGAAAGTCCACGCGTAGGACGACCTGTTTATTTCGCCCTATACAAACAGTTGGACTGACACATATGCACACTGAAGTGTTCATATGCAGAAGTTTATCCTTCGAATTTCTTTGAAGCTGAGAGAGAGATTAGAGAACATCACTCCTGGTGTTGCTGCAAAAAAACGTCTTCTTTAGGGAATTGGAGATTCTTTCCTTTAGGATATCTACCACTAAATGTCCTCTGAAGTTGCAGTGAACTTCATTCTTCTCTTTTTATGGTTTTGATTTCATGTTCTTATCAAAGAAACGTGACGTGTTTTCATTTTGAAGTAGGCCTATTTTTGAAGGACAACAGCATCCTACAGTTCAGTAAACATTTCCGTTATAAAAAATTCAAATTTGAGACATAACTTAATTTCAAAAATTAGTTTGTAGGGATTTTATTTATTTCAGGTTACACTATGGATTGATATCAGTTAGGGAACTATTGAAAACGAGTGCTAGAGTACTGGATAGCTGTTTCGTCCTAGTTTGAAACCCATCAACAGTATGCACCCACTGAGTTTCGAACTCAGGACCTTCCGGTTAAAAAACAAGCTAGCTCGTATATCATTCAACCACGCGGACCCGACACCTCATTGGCCAGTCCATGAATTCTAACTTCTACTGATTCGTGATATTAAGGCTACCACACAATCAGTGTGTACCGCTGATGAGTCTTTAAACTAGGACGAAACAGCTGTACAGTACTCACTGGTTTTCAGTGATTCTCTAGCTGAAATCAATCCGTAGTTTAACCTGAAACATAATATTTGTGGTTAGTAGTCATTCACCTAAGAGGGTTCAAATTTCTTTTTCAGAAAACAGGGTTCACTTAAAAGTACCTATGAAAAACAAACTTGGTCTTCCAGCGAAAATGAATTCTACTGAAGATTGAAACAACTTAGTCACACACATACACACACATACACAAGTCTACATCTTCGGGTAAAGTATGAATTACTTTTTAAAATCTGCGAACACTTTTAATTCATTAAATGGTTGGAGGTAATCGGCAGGAAGCCTCGCCTGATCTAGGTTGGCACTCACCAGTCAGTTTGCAAGGCGTATCTGCGTCTTTGAAGGAACTCGTGTCCCCTCCGAAATTCAAACATACGTCATCCAGTGAGTGGTGCAGTCATAGACGTTACAGCTGAGCTATCCGGGCTCGCAATTAACCTCGTGCAGGACTGTAGTCGATACTTTGATTGAACACTAGTAACTAGCTTGATGTTTCTAGTCCTCTTCTGCAAAGCGGACCATGAACGGTGGCCATATTTTGTAAATCTGACTGAAAGAATTCAGGATTTCATCATGAGCTGAACTTAGTTAGAGAACCATTGGAAAACCAGCTGGCAGTACTGGACAGCTGTTTCGTCCTAGTTTGGGACTCTTCAGCAGTACGCACCCACCGGGATTCGAACCCAGGACCTTCCGGTTACAAGGCGAGCTCGTATACCATTAAGCCACTGGGACCCGATCCAATGGTCCTTGAATTCTAACTTCTGCCAATTCACGACATAGCGCGACCGCTAGCCAATGTCTTCGGCGAGTATTTGTCCTCACACCCGACCAGCTGCACCCTACTGGTCACGACTTCCCACTGGAACCCAGGTAACTACCTACCTGAATAGGGCCAGTCGCCAGTGAGCATCTCATTGGTATTCAAGTGTTGGTTTGTAGGGATTTGATTGGTTTCAGGATTTCATCATGAGCTGATCATGAGCCGGTGGGTGCGTACTGCTGAAGAGTCCCAAACTAGGACGAAACAGCTGTCCAGTACTCCCAGGTTTTCCAATGGTTCTCTAACTAATGTCAGCTCATGATGAAATCCTGAAACCAATCAAATCCCTACAAACCAACACTTGAAAGAATTCAGTCTGCATCAAAGAAAGGACTAGACCCATCACTGTCTGACTGTCTGTCTGTTTTCGACATAGAACTTTACACATATGTGGGGTAGTTCAAGTCGCCACACTCCATGTAGCATACAAAGCAACACAAGAAATTAGAAGAAATGCATAATGGAGACAGTAAACGGAGGTTTGAGACAACGGAATAGTAGTAACGAAGAACAAAACAGTTTCATTGGAAATCATAAGTCACAAGGAATGGACGCAACTACGCCATCCATTGAGAACGATTTTGGGCCATGTCACCAATTGTTTCCAACCATTGGTTTTTACCGTCCCGAGGACCCCAACTAGTCAGGAAGTCTACACCTTCCTACGTGGCTTAGACTAACTGTTGTAGATTTCATTGACTGGTGTCATGTTTTGGTTTGACCGCCGCTAGCTGTTTTCCAGCCTGACCCTATATATGTATATTGCAATGTACGCTGAAAATTCCATAACTGTACCACAAATACTGTTTGGAATAAAGCTGTTATTATTATTATATCAGCTGACATTACCCGTCGAGGGAGGCGATGACTAGGGATGCATGCGTGACACATGTCCTAACCATTTCAGTCGATGTCACTTCACAACTTCGTCGATTGATTTCCCCTCCTCACCTAGAACTCGCCCTGTGCCTAACCTCAATATTGCTCACCTTATTATACCACTTCACTCGGGAGATAGAGTGCAGGCACCTATGATCAAAGACAGCTAGCTAGCCTTTTCATGTCTTTCACTCTCAATGGCCAGGTCTCACAGCAATAAAGGAGGACGGAGCGGACTGATGAGGATTACACCCGCCCTTTGGTCGATAACCGGCCAGATATCACGATTACGCCAGAGACTGCGTCAACTGGCATATGCCAAACTAGCCCTCTGTATCCGTGGTGAGATTTCGTCAGCGATCAACCCGTTGACACTGGCTGATGGTCTTCTCAAGTAAGTGAAGCGGTCAACGTGCTCTACCACTTCACTTCCTATTTCTAATCTAGGAGTCGGTGTAGGAGTCGAATTCCGCCTTTAGGTCGAGAAATATAATGATTGTTGGACGCCGGTAGGAATGCCTATGTTCTAGAATCTGTCGGAGGGTGAAGATATGATCAATACACCCTCTTCCTGGTCTAAAGCCTGCCTGGCTCTCTCGTGTTTGTGCCTCCCGAGCACCACTTAGTCTTCGCATGATTATTGAGCCGAGGACTTTAGATACTATATTAGTCAAGCTAATCCCTCTGTGATTATCACAAGAAGACTTGTCTCCCTTCTTGTATATGGGGATAATCAGTGTCTTATACCAACCCGATGGGACTTCCTATGATTCCTAGAAGCGGCCTAGAACCTCAGTTAATGCAGACAGTAAACTGTGTACACTGTACTTAAATACCTCTGGAGTCATTCCATCTTGTCCTGTTACTTTGCCCCGTTTCAGACTACTGACAGCTTTAGTAACCTAAGTTAGGGACGGAGGACCTGTGTCTATATCCCATTCAGGGAGGTGTTGGATGTTTGGCAGGTTGAGCATGGCTGTGGGCCAAATAAACTGCTCCTCATAGTGCTCTTTCCAGTGTTCTAGTCGTCTATCCTGAGAGCTAATTATGGTGCTATTTTTTTTCTCCGAGACTGTCTCGTTTATCATTTGCCTTTTGCCACCTGTTTCCCTGATAAGCCTAAATAGACACATCACACTTGTTACCAGTGTCAATGAAACTTAATGGTTTTTATTCTAATTGGACTAACCTTAATGTACATACACACACATACAAAAATAAGTGAATATATAACTACAATTGTACAGCTAGGTGAATTAATTCATCGCTGAAAAGAGACTCTTCACTGAATTACGTTTTTTCTATTGGTTAATACCTGGATGAAGGTTATCCATGGGTTAGCGGCTTGGCCTCATAGCACAGCTGTTTAATCGTTGATCTAGTGATCCGAAAGTAGCTAATTTGAATCACTGCAAAAAAAGGAGTATTTCATATTATATGGGACGTGTCCACTGGATAGGTACTTACATCTTAGTGAGTGATGATGTGGTAGCTTTAATTCTCAAAATGGAAGACCATCCCCTCACTGAGAGATGAGTTGAATTTGAAACAAGGGAAAAGCTGCAGTCTTTTAGATTCCACTCTTAGTCACTGTCAACCTGATAACGTCTATTTAACATTAAAGAAGCTTCTTAGGCTTAAGTTTGCTAGAAGCCTCGTGTTTCCAAAAGATTCGGTAAGATGAACTCATTTCTTTCTCACTTATCTAGGCGGTATCGTTTCAACTACAGATAGCGTGGATGAAGATTTCAAAGTCAGAGACAGGATTGGAAAGGTAAGCGATATAAAGAACAAAATTCAAGTTTTCAACATCGGTATCAAGTCATTCAGTTTATGTGTATGGTTTAGAGAATTGAAATATCTGACAGGCTACTGTCGACTTTCATCAACAATTGCCTTTAATCTGGCTGTATACTGAAGATCAGATGGCCTGATCCAGAAAGATGAGACACAAAGAATCCTGGCCACAAGAGAACTAATCAATAACCCACTGTCCAAAAAATATGCCAGAAGAAAGTGGAGGTGTGTATGGTACACGCTGTAAAGAGACCATTGAGACACTTCTCGCGTCTGGTCAGTCTTTGAATGGAAGCCGAATAGGAGACGACAGGTTGGGCCTAAGTCAAGTTTTGAGATGGAGAAGCCAGTTAATGAGGATTACAGAGAACACGAAAAAGTCGAGATGTGCTTTTTAAGGAATATGCCCCATTCAGAACCCAGAAGAAGTGGTAAAATATATATAATGGAAGCAGCCGTGATAGCAATCCCCATAAATTCGACGTTCTAGTCTATCAGGTTCTTATTAACAAGTTATATATAAAAAGAAGCAACGAATTCTTCGGGAAAAGACATTCAAAGTGGCGCACTTTTGTCTTTTCTACCAATTTCACCTAAATTTAGATTCCATACGAAGAATTCTTTAAATGTAGAATGTCTATATATTCTGAAAGATTATCAGTATATAACCTCAGGAGAAGTAAATCAACTTACCTTGAGGAAGAGAAGTACATTTGGCGGGACAATTAGATTCGAACAACTTGACATACGACGATAAATTCTGAAATAAATAAGAAAATGAACAGACTCAAAATTAAATAATGCCTATAGGTTAATCCCACTTCAAAAAACCTCCCTTTTTTTATTAATGAAAAATATGGACTGTACCTGAAAATGAAACATTAGACTATCAACTTTTTTAATCATTTGTTGTCTCATGAATATATATATATATATATATATATATATATATATATATATGTATACATAATGATGAAATATTCCATTATAAACAAAATGCCCCATATTGATCAACAAACCGATCAATATTCAATGTTTAAAAACTACTTCCTGTCAACATTTAAACTGAATGCAATAGCGTTTAAGTGATAGATTGCTTGTCAGCCATACTGTAGGCCAAAACTTGATTTTGCAGTAGGCTCACTCATGAATATCACCTGGTTTACCAACCGTAAGTAAAAGCTGAAAAACAGGGAAGGTTAAATGTGAGGCTAACTAGATCTTGACCAATTTTAAAAAATAACACCACAACTATCCAACCTTGTCACTTTGATTACGTTTGTTGCATAATTATGAGCGGTTATCATTTCAGCTCACTGAGTTTATCTCATTCTCATGAACTATGACTTTCTCAGGTTGTTAGGTAACCTCATAAGCTTGTAATATATTTCATTTGTTTCCACCTTGGCTGTCCTCTTCTCCTCATCGTTGTCTAGTTTGAGATGCGTATAAACTTCAAACCTTCATTAACAGCTGTCTCCGCTCAATACTCAAGGTCAGATGGCCGGTCAGAAAAGATCAGTAACAGGGATCTCTGGCAATGAAAGAACCAACCAGGAACCGATTGTGAAACAAATAGTCAGAAAGAAATGGAGATGGATTGGCCATACGCTAAGGAAACCATCAAGTGACATCACTAGACAAGCCATCGCTCGAGTGGAACCCGAAAGAGAGGCGGCGAGTTGGTCGTCAGTGCAAGGGTGACTTGGAGGAGGTCATGTGAAGAGGAGATGAAAGCGTGTGGACAGACCTGGAGCAGGGTGAAAAAGTTGTCAGAAAACCGAAGGCAATGGAGGTGCGCAGCTGAAGCCCTATGTTCCTCTAGGAACTAAAGGATACAATAATAATAATATAATAATAAATAGATGATGACTTCAACATTGATATATGTCACACCGAATTCGATAATTTTTGCTTTATCGAATGCGAAACAGGTTACAGAACTAAGTGAGTAGAACAGCTGCTGCTTTCTGCTAATCCAATGAATTAACCTCAAAAATCATTGAGCAGTTTATGAGTAACAACTTTTCAATGAATAAGTTTCTTTTTTGTGATTTTTCCTATTAGGTGTAATTCTGGTCAAGTCTTAAAAGTGATGTATATGTAAAACCAATCAGGAAAAAAGGAATTTCTTGGTATCTAATGACTATCTTGATTTGTCAATACTAGGACTTCAGTAAGGAAAGGAGTACAACTTCAGGTTAGACAGCACTTTTATCATATTGTTATTCGACAGGTTCTGTCTTGATTTCGATTGTCCTATCTCAGTGGTCATGCGTAAAACTACAAATAGTTTGCATCTCAGATTGCACAAGGAATATGACTTTTCTAATCTGAGACGAGCCAGCTCACCAGCTACACACTTGAGTGGTTCTGGGTTCGATTTCTAGCCGACATACTCCTATGCCTGATGTTAACACCAATGAGGAGCCTGTTAAAGACGAAAGCTAGACGTGAGAATATCAACCATGCCCCGTCAAATACAATATTATTGTTCTTATGACTTCGAAGCTCAACTGACTGACTGGTTCCAACATAGAACTTTGCACAGATGTGCAGCAGTTCTAGTCGCCACACTCTTGTAGGACACAAACCAAGAGAAGAAAGTAAACAGAAATCCAATACAGATACAGTAAACAGAGATGTCCGGTGAAAAGGGTAGTAATACCGAAGAACCTTATAGTTTTATTGGATATTATAAGTCACAAGGAGTGGATGCATCTGCGGTGTAAATAAGAACGATTTTGAGCCATACTGCCGATTTTCTTCAGCCTTTAGTGTTTATCGTCCCGAGGACCTTAGCCACAAAGCCAGTCTACACCTTCCTATGTGGCTTAAACTAACTGTTGTAGATTTCAGTGACTGATGAAGCCATGTTTTGGTTCGACGACTACTGCTTCTTTTCCAGCCTGATGCATCTTATGTCAGCTAACATTAATCGTTGTCGAGAAAGGCGATAGCTAGGCAGGTGCAACACATACATGGACTATCTCAATCGGTGTAACTTCTGTTATGTACTCGTCGCTAAATTATTGTTATGGACTGGTTGAGAAACTAATAGTCCTGACGCGAGAAGGCGGAAATCAGAAGACCACTAGGTTTGCGATGATACTTCTATTGTCCAAACACAAGGAGACGAAAATAAAATGGTCTCACACCAAAGTGGTAAGTAAGTAAATTGTAAAGTAAAGTCACAAGATTGTGAATGCGAAATATATATGAATGTTCCAGACAAAGCGTGGGAAAAATCATTAGACAGTCTTAACATGAATGGCTAATTATAATGGAGTGTCGATCCAAATATACATAGCGAATATAGCAGACATGTCAACAACCATATATGGATATATGTTACCAAGCAACGGACTGTCAACAAACACTCATATTATATATAATATAATATAAGGAGAATATACATTGTTAAAGGAGACAAGTTCATACCAGTGAAATGGTCACAGACAAACAGAAAGAGAGACCAACATACACACACACATAAATATATATATGTGGATACATATCAACTTCACCCCCTCGTCGACTGATTTCCCCTCCTTACCTAGAACTCGCCCGGTGCCTAACCTCAACATTGCTCACTTTATTAAACCACTTCACACAGGAGATTTAACTCCGAGACCTATGATAAAAGACCACTAGCTAGCTTTTTCATGTCTTCCACTTTGACTGACCAATTTACACATCCATAAAGCGGGGCATTGCAAACTGCTGAGTAGTACACACGCCTTTTTGTTCGATAGCCGGATATCACGTCTATATCAGACACGAAGCTATAAAAACGTGAAGTCGCATATTACACTTGGAACTCGAAACAATGAGAGAAATTACCAGATAGAAGAAAATGCCACAAATGCGTACACATGGATAAAAGTTCCTCTGAAATGAAGTTCTCATCATTTTCATAAATTATATAGTATCTCAAATACAAATGTATGTTTAAGTTCTTACGAACATACAAACAGTTGGCATTAAATATTTGTGTTAAAAGTCATAACTCCATTATGGATAAGATTTTATTTCCATAAGTCACACAGTTTTACACAGCAATATATTAATGATGACCACGTTTTGAGCACAATCTATCACTGCTCATAATCATATCAAGTCACTCACACAACCTTTTTCCATTCATTTTTATACATGAGTGAAAATCGATGATTAGATATTTGAATAAAAATCAATATAGAATAATGTACATGAGCAATAATTTGTGCTTGAAACGTGGTCATCAGTTAATATTACTGTGTAACACTGTGTGACTTATGAAAAAATAAAATCTTATCCATAATGGAGTTGTACTCTACCGCCACAGTGCCCAAGTTTTATACTTTATATGTATGTATATTAAAAGTCATTAGTTCTTATAAACATGGTGTTGAGCATAGTTCTAAGATAAAAAAATTTGTGGGACAGGGATTTTACGGATGAAATGAAGAATAATTTAAACATCTGAATACATCCGTGATAGCTGGACTTTTAATTACTGACATCAGAAGCGGTTTAATATTTCTCCTTTGAGGATAATTGCCGAGTATAATTTACCTGACTCTGTAGTAATTGAGGTTAATTTCGGTGTAGATCCTGTTACGAGCTGACTAGGGTGATATATATATATATATTTAGTGACCCCTGTTTTGTCTGATGACGACAACATCTACACTGACATTAAACACTCGTCCGTAATACGTCAGTGGTTCTGCGGTAGAACTGTCTCCAACCGTGCAGGTGGTCTGGAGCTGAATCCTCAACTGACGCACTCCCTGAAACCTTGCTAGGCTGATAGTAAACCCAATAAAGATGGAATGTTAGGTGTGCGATTAGCAATCCCACAAACACTAGAACTTCAAAACTTCAAACTTGAAGGACTGTGTCCCACTCAGAAAGCAAAGGAATAAATTAGTACAACAAAAAATCGATCTTAAATATTACTGAGTTCATTTGGAATCTTTTAAAGTGAGTGTAGTCCATTCAGTGAACAGAATGAAAGATTTAATGAACATGTTAAGGGTTTCGACTTATTATTATTGTATCCTTTAGTTCCTAGAGGAACATAGGGCTTCAGCTGCGCGTCTCCATTGCCTTCGGTTTTCTGCCAACTTTTAACTCCGCTCCAAGTCTGCCCACATGCTTTCATCTCCTCCTCGCATGACCTCCTCCAAGTCACCCTTGCACTGACGACCAACTCGCCACTTCCCTTTCGGGTTCCACTTGAGCAATGGCTTGTCTAGTGATGTCACTGGATGGTTTGATTCTCAGAGTATGGCCATCAATTCACCTAACTCCATTTCTTCCTGCCTATTTGTTTCACAGTCGGTTCTTGGTTGGTTCTTTCATTGCCAGAGATCCCTGTTGCTGATCTCTTCTGGCCGGCCATCTGATCCTGGTTATTGAGCGAAGACAGCTGTTAATGAAGGTCTGGAGTCTGTCTGAGGTGCTCTTCATGACTCGCCAAGTACCTGATCCGTATATTAAGTAGCACTGACTTCACATTGGGGTTGAAAATCCGGATCTTAGTTTTCATGCTGAGTGATGTTGACCTCCACACAGACTTGACGTGTGTAATGAAAGCTTGTCTTGCTTTGCTCGATTCTTGCTTTGATATCCTCGTCAGTTTTGTGTGCCTGTAGTTGAAACGATGCCTCCCAGGTAGGTGGGTAGGTGAGGGAGGTTGTTTCTTTCAGGTTCCTTCTATTTTTTGGCTGATTGTTGTCTGTTGTTGTCGTTGCTGTTGGTGTTGGCCAGGAATCTTCATCACCTCTGTTTTCTCTATGTTCACTTGAAGTCCTATCTTTGATGCTTCTATCGCCAGCTTGTTGCTTTTCACTTGCATATCTTCCAATTTGTGGGAAATCAGGCATATATCATCGGCGAAGTCCAGATCCTCCAAGTTTTTTGTGTGAGTCCATTTTATGCCTGTTTCCTCTCTGCCCGCCGCTGTCTGTCGCATTATACAATCTACTGCAATCAGGAAAATCATTGGTGATAGCAGACACCTTTGCCTCACTCCCGTCCTCCCTTCGAAGGCTTCCATAAGTTTCCCGTTGTGGATTACTTGGCATGCACCATTGTCGTAAAACTGTTGGATGAGATGTATAATTGTCGATGGGACCTTATAGTAGCGAGTTAGTTGCCAAATAACCTCTCGATTGACGCTGCTTTATCGAAGGCCTTTTCAAAGTCGATGACGTTGAGTTAGAGAGGTGACTACCATTCTAAGCTTTGTTCAATGATGATTCGTAAAGTGGCGATTTGATCAATACATGACTTGTTTCTCCTGAATCCAGTCTGTTCCGATCGAAGTTTTTCATCTAGAGGTTGTTTGATTCTCTCCAGGATGATGCGGCTTAGTATCTTGCTTGGAATGGACAGGAGCATAATTCCGCACCAGTTTTTACATTGACTTAAATCTCCTTTCTTCGGTAGTTTGAATAAGTATCCTTTCTTCCAATCCTCGAATACTTTGCCCTCTTTCGACTAGCGCAGTCATTTCATCACATACCGAATCAATATTGAAAATTATGCTAGACGAATGGTATCATTTTATTCAACTCCATCACGAATAAGATTTTATTTTGGCAAATCACACAGTAAAAACACAGTTTTTGTTCAGCGAAGAAAAACGACTTCATTTTCAAACTGTACAGTCGTATTTATATTACAGAAAAAGATTATTAAGTGGCACTAAATAATTGCCCAGTCAATGTACGTATATATATAATAAAAGTTATAAGGGATAGAGTTGAAGTGGATAAATTACAAAAATATTAAAGATTGTTCTATAACAAAAATGTCAGGTGTTGTCTAAAAATTTTGAAAATTAGGAGTACGATTACGATAAGAATGAAGATGTGAAGTGAAGTGGAAAGAATTCAAGTGGTAAAATAAAATAAATAAAACTAGAAAGAACATTAATATGACCAAGGTAAAGAAAGGGGTTTGACAAGACGTTTTTTGAACACGTAATTTAGGTTTCTGTTCTGCATAAGTGAAGAAAACGTAAACTTTTGGATCGATTCGATTTTGCCATGTAGATAACTTTGAAAGATGAATCACGTGGGGCTAAATGACCAGATTCTAACAGATGATCACAAATAGACGACGTCGCAGTTCTACCTTCGCCCTTCATTAACCAAACCGGATAGTGTTCAGCTACACGTTTTCGGAGACTACGCTTACAACGTCCAATATAATCAACTCCACAAGAGCAGGTAAATGAGTAAATGAACGTAGATGTGGACAAAAGCGGTAATCTATCCTTGATGCATTGTCTAATCATATTTCGGCTGGTAAAAACTAGTTGCAGGTCAGCTGCAGGAAAAGTGCCTTTTTACACATTTAGATGAACGATTTTTAATCAATTCTGAAATGGAGTCACCTTTGAATGCATGACTCATAAACCGTTTTTTCTTGGCAATGTGACTTGTCTCGGGGTGGATTCTTTCTTGATGTTACGTTCAATGAACCTTGTGGGATAACCATTGTTAAGGAGATTTGATCGAAGGTTATCTAGTTCACTATCGATTGTCTCTGCAGAGCAGATTTTACGAATTCTAGGACATAAGGAATGAATAAGATTTCTCTTTCTTCCTAAAGGTACCCAACTACTGAAGTTAGTTACTGTCCAGTGAATGTTGGCTTTCGGTAAATCGACCTTAACAGCGTTCCATTCTCTCTTCTATCTAGCTTAACATCAAGGAAGTGAAACGAGGAATTCGACTCCTTTTCGACCGTGAAAAGCAAAGATGGGTGAGAACCATTAAATATTCTAAGAAGATCGGCAGTTGAAGAGTTTTCATCACATACAATAAAGGTATCATCATATATCTTTTATACAATAAACAAACTATCGATGGTTTCCTTTAGTGGGTCATTCTCTAAGCTTGCCATGAAGACGTCCGCTAAGAGTGGTCGATCGAGAAATCACATAGTGTTATACAGTAGTATATACTGATATGACCACGTTTCTAGCACAGTTTATCATTGCTGCTAATAATTATATCAAGGCGCTACTTATACAACTTTCTTGCTTTGTTCATGTACATGAGTGACATTGATTAGACATTTGAATAAAAATCAACATAAGATAAATTACATTTAGAAATATTAATATTAGTGTTATCAACAAAACACAACAAGATGGGAAATAAGACGAGTGTTTTCTTAGTAAAATAAATAATAACTTGTTAGAATATTATCATGTGAATTGAAATGGATATATTTTAAGATTATTTATTATCCTCCTCTGATTTGACTGACTGGTGGTATAATATCTTTTAGACATATCTCTGGTGTTTGCATTGAGTCACTTTTATTGCATGTGTTGGGTGTAGATTATTCAATGAACCCGGCAGGACTCAGTAACCAATCTCTCTCTCTCTCTGTCTCTCCACCTACTTATATTACTTCTTAGAATTCTGACTCTGTCCCACCCACCCTATTGTGTGTTAATGCATGCAGCAGTACGACTGCTGGGTTCAGTTTCCTAAATTACTTATCTTTGTGGTTCGATCATTATACCCTTAACTAAATTCTTATGTCTTGATAATCTCACAACTTCTAATCTACTAGTTTGACCTATTTAGTTGACCTGACTCACAGTCATTGTAAGGTAATTTGTAAATTACATTATTTTGTCTAATTTGGTCAACTTACAGAGTCCTTTCATCTACAGAGCTTGTCCTACCTTATCGAGTTTGTAGAAGGGGTTGAATGCCACTCTAATTCCTGTTTTATTAAGAATCCTACATAGGGAGGGTCTCAGATGTCACCTTCTTATATGATAAAACTAATGTAGATGCCTTATATTCTCTCTCTTATTTATGTTATCATTATTAGTTTCAGAATTATTTTTATTTTTCTGTTGGCCTTTTCTGGTCCTCCTAATGAACTTTATAGTACGGTGACTTAACTTTAACGCTTCTTCTACCTGTTTCATTTCAGCGTTTTGGTTTTTTGTTGTACTACTAAGTGCTATTGGTCGGTTTGTTAGACACTTAACAACTAGGCCTGTGATGAGAGATATCTGCAAGCCAAAATTGTAGACAACAATTAACCTCAATATTTACGTCCCGTATCGGCACCATGAGAAAAAGGAAAACACAATAACAAAGCTTAACCATTAGCAAAATCACCAAACAATCACAGAAGACTTAACGTGTGCAAATACAATTCGCAGATATATGGCTTAACTTTCTGAGAAACAAGCAGTGACAAGCGGTAGAGAATAACCTTCAGTAAGAAAATAACCAATCAGAAGACGTTGCTCCTCCCTTGACAATAATGTACACAAAAATCTATAAGAATATATGTGTTGATTTTCCCAATAAACAATGTGCTGCGTGGCTCTTGTCTTCTTCTGTCGTTACGAGCCCGACTTTACAGACAACGGGTGGGTGATTTATCAAAATAAAATCTTATCCATAATGGAGTTATACTGTACCGCCACAGCGCCCAACTGTTACACATATATCATTTTATTTAATTTTAATATTCCTGATAACATCATATAGCAAAAACAAAATTAAAAAAATATAATTTTGTTTAGAAAAAATCGATAAATATACGTGAAATAAAAAAAAATATTATTGACATACCTTTCAACAAATATTCCAGCTCTAATTGCATTTGCAACACTACGGAATCTAGGTTTCTGATCACCAATACCAACATTTTGTACAGTTCGTGTAAATGTTGAAGCAAGCCAATTACGGACTTCATCTGGAACGTATTCTGTAGCAGCTTCAGATAAGTCTTCTTCTTCTTCACGAATACGTCTAATCAGATGAAAATGAAGCAGTATATTAGAAAACTGAAGAGAAATCTTGATTTTAGATTACTAAGAGATGAGTGCAGAAATAGTGTGAAATAGAAATCAACTTCAAGTGAATTGATATTAATGTATAACTGACTGACCGATTTCAACATAGAACTTTGTACCAATGTGCAGCAGTTCAAGTCGTCAAACTCCCTCCAAGTAGCACAGAAAGCAAGAGAAGAAAGTAGAAGAAATGCATAGTAGAAACAGCAAACAGAAAGAAGAGAACACGAAGTTCAGCAAAGATATCTGTCTTTTCGGCGATTTCATTCTCAAAAGCAGCTGTACAATCGCATTTATATAGATTATTTTACATGGGTACAATTATTATTCTTTGTTTAATTCCACATAGTAACGAAGGTGATAATAATTTTCAACTTGACAGGAAAGTTTGAAGGCACAAATATAGATTACTAGGGGCTTAGAAACAAGATTTCATAGGATTAGAAAATAGCTATAACGTATGCAAAAATTAATATTTGATAACTAGAGAAGTAATTTTAAGTCAAATAGAAGGTGATAATTGTTTTCAACTTGATATGAATTACAAGAGGCTTAGAAACGCAGGGATAAAACGAATTACAGGTGTAAACAAACGAAATGAGCATGGAAACAAATTGAAATAACTAGTTTTATAACTGAAAATGTGAAATAATAATTTGAGCCTGAAATGAAAGTTAGGAGGTATGAATATATCAAGTTGAAAATAATTATCACCTTTAATTCGCTTTTAAAATTATTTCTCTAGTTACCAAATATTAATTTTACATATGTTGTAACTGCTTTCCATTCCTACGCAATCTTGTCTCTAAGCCCCTTGTAATCTATTTTCGTACCTTCAAACTTTCACATCAAGTTGAAAATTATTATCACCTTAGTTACTATGTGGAATTAAACAAATAATAATTGTATGGAGGATTTAGTCATGAGCTGACATCAGTTAGAGAACCACTGGAAAACCGACTGGGAGTACTGGACAGCTGTTTCGTCCTAGTTTGGGACTCCTCATCAGTACGCACCCACCGGGGTTCGAACCCAGGACCTTCTGGTTACAAGGCGAGCTCGTAGACCATTGAGCCACTAAGAGCCGATTCAATGGTTCTTGAATTCTAACTTCTGCCAATTCACGACATAGCGCGACCACTTCGCAATGTCTTCTTCGATGAGTTACTGCCTAATCTTCAACCTGCTGTACCCTACTGGTCACGGCTTCCCACTAGAACCCCAGGTTAACTGCCTGAATAGGGCCAGTCGCTAATGAGCATCAGATTAATTTTCAGTAATAATTGTATCCATGTAAAATAATCGATATAAATGTGATTGTACAGCTGCTTTTGAGAATGAAATCGCCAAAAAGATCGCCGTCTTTGCTGAACTTCATGTTCTCTTCTTTCTAATGTCTATATGGGTATTTTCCACGAACAGCAAACATAGACATGAGGCGAAAAGAATAATAACATCGAAGAAAAATATAGTTTTATTGGATATTGTAAGTCACAAGGAGTGGATGCCTCTGCGACAGCCATCGCTAAGAACGATCACTTTGAGCTATATCACCAATTCATTCTAATAAAGATTTTCTCGTATTTCCCAATGAATGAAATGGACCAAAACGATATTGTTGTTTTTACTGACGTTTCCCTATTTAATACTGTTAAAGCTCTATCAAAGTAGACATTTGTAAAAAAATATATTTGTAAAATCTCAACGAGATTGAAATGAGTAATTCCAACGTTTCCTACGTTCGACAATCTGATCCGAACTTCTTCAGGGAAATTAATCGAAATTAACATAACAGAGGTTTATATATATAAAAGGAACATCTCTTGTTTTTAAAAACGTTGTCCAATCATGAGTCATAAAACAAGTATCAACAAGTATAATAAACAAAATTGTATCAGCTGTGATCGAAATTCGACCTCGGACTTACAGATATTGATCTACCTTTGTTAAACACTTTAAACACAGTGTGCATGTGTGTGCGAGTAAACAATTGTAAAACATTTCTTAACGTCTCCATGATAAGGCATAGACAGTCAGGAATTTTGACCAAGTATTATTAATTAGTGATACATATCCATTCTTATTTATTAATCAGGATTTCCTATGCCTCAGCTAACAAGATCACACCTTCATGTCTGTTCAAACTGTTAATATCTAGAATTTTATGATTAGACGTATTTTCAAAATTATGGTGTTTAGGATTAGAGTTTAGTTGAAGCACCATGTCAAACTTATCACTTTGTCTTCTTTCTGAAAATTGAGCTGATTTATTCGACCTACTGGAGTTGTCAGGTGACTGGACAGCTACGAATTTAGGATACGCATTATTCTGTTGCAGACAACGGAGAGTGGAAACACGATGATGATTGTGCCAATTAGCATAGTTTCTTTGTTAATTCAATTCGATTGCAAAATAATTCAAATGAACTGTCGTCAAGATTTGACAGAATATTTGGAAAATATTTGGGTGCCGAGTGAGAAGTAGACATTTGTGAAAAATTATATTTGTAAAATCTCAGCGAGATTGAAGTGAGTAATTCCAACGTTTCGTTCCGTAATCTGGTCCGAACAAGAAACGTTCCTCTTATATAAAAATCTCCGTCATGTTAATTTCGGTTAATTTCCCTGAAGAAGTTCGAACCAGATTGCCGAACGAAACGCTGGAATTACTCATTTCAATCTCGTTGAGATTTCACAAGTATAAGTTTTTACAAATGTCTACTTCTCACTCGACGCCCAAATATTTTAGAACTATTCTGTCAAATCTTGACGACAGTTCATTTGAATTTATCAAAGTATTTTAAACCAAAATTTACAAATCCCATTCAGCTTATATATAACAACCTAATCATTGTTCCTCAGCATGGGTTCATTTTTCTAGTTGTCAAATTGCCCGATTGGTAAAAATAATAAAACCAGGTGTAGATGACTGTTGGATTTGAAAAGTGTGTAAAATTATAAAAACAGCGTGTGTTTACATATTGAAATTGCTTATGACATTCGCGTTGATTTTGTCACTTCATGGCGAAACGTCAGTAAAAACAATATCGTTTTATTTTTCATTCATTGGGAAATACAAGAAAACCTTTATTATAAGGAATATCATAAAACGCATGCCCAAATTTTTCAAACTGTTAAAAGTGAGCTTGGTTTGGACATATATAACATATCGCTAACTGTCTCCAGTCACTAGTGTTTACTGTCCCAATGACCTTAACCAGGAAGTCTACACCTTCCTACATAATAACAATAATAATATAATTTTTCCCTCACGTTCCCAGTGGAACATAGGGCCCCAAGCTAGTGACTTGAAGTTTCTGCAGCAGTGTTTAATTTTTACAGGATGGGGTTGCTAGCCTTATGCCCAACCGTTCCTCTTACCAGCATTATTTCTGGCTCAGTGAGATAAAGCAGTGCGCCGGCCGGGTATCGAACCCCGGACCACATCTTCCTACATGGCTTAAACTAACTGTTATGGATTTCATGGACTGAAGGGGCCATGTTTTGGTTTGACCACCACTAGCTAACACTTTTCGTGTTGAGAAAGGAGATGGCTAGGCAAACATAACACATGTCCTAACCATCTCAGTCGATGTAGCTTCACAGCCCCTCGTCTACTGATTTCCCCCCTTCCACCCACTTAGCACTCAAACGATGCCTGACCTCAATACTACTCACCTTATTATTATTATACCGCCCAACACGGAAGATAGAACGCAGGCATCTGTGAACAAAGGTATAAGCTGTTTTTCACGCAGTGATTGCTCTAATCACTTAAATTTGGTGATCCCAACTTCAGTGTATCCATATTTTATGAAAAGCATCCTGATGGGGATGTCCAGCAGTCTCAGATGATAACAACCAAACTAAATTTCCATCTGAAAGCTTTCGAAGAAGATAAACCACCTATCCAAAATTCTACTAACCAAAGAATAAAGATCTCTTGATAAAAAGGCTTCCGATGGGACAGATATTCCTTAGAAGTGGAGATTTGACTGGTTAACTTGGAACTTTGAATTACAGTCATTTCATCCACGGTATAAGCCACTCTTCAGGCAACTAAGTTTAAAAATTCAGCTACATGGTAAGTACCATTTAATCACAGTTTTTTGACGTCAGCTGCATACAGTCCTAATAATCACTTGGGAAATTTCGCTAACAGAATCTATATCATATATTATTGGCCTAGAGTAGATGCATTGGTCTACCATGTTGAAGACAAAGTATGCCCTTTATTTTCTAATTTAAGTGTGGTCATTTATTAATTTGTCAGGTGTAAACATCTGTTCATTGTATGAAACCGCTCTAGGCCGAGAGAACTGTCAGTGAGTTACAGAATTCAAGGCTATAGAATTCTAGGGTAGTACTCCATCACTCATCTAATAGAGACCACAGGAATACTGAGAATTTTCAATTGTCCTCTTCCTGTTGTCAATTATTCAGGACAAAACTTCTCATTAAATCCTTCAAATTCATGAAGTATATACAATTTATAGAGTTAATTTGTTCTATGAATGATTTGTGGCGTTTAATAAATTAACAGTATGTGAACGAGTTTAAACAAATATGTTCAATGAACTTGAACGCATTTAATCGCGAAATCAATTTAAATGCTTTGTATACTAATGTTTATTTTACTTGGTATATAGTGACTAACAGTGTAATCCCAGGATGTGCATTTCGTCCCATTCAGGACTCGCCATCCAAATGTGCCTACAGTCCTCAGTGAGTGAGTATTGGTGTTCCCTCTGAGAGACTCAAATCCAGTACCTTTCATTTCAGACGCTAAAGCGTTATCCGCTAGACCACTTGGGCCATCAAAGTCACTTCCTGTACAACAGACATCAGTAATTATTTGTTTTCAATCAAGTTTCAATTTGCCCCTTGATTGATTGGACCATTTACCAAATTACGTAGAGTTATTCCTCAAGAATCATTGAAGCGTCCATACCGGGG